GACTTAGGTCTCCTTTTTGAAGCATTTACTGGTCGCCTGTATGCAATATTTAAGGTGAATCTAACACTCATTAAGTAGAGCACATGAAACATTTTCATGTAGGCATTAAAAACCCTTCGAAATGCCCAAGGTATTCAGGAAGCTTTATTGAAAAAATTTGCAGCTGTTTTTGTGACAATAATTCCGAAATCTTTCTCTTCCTTAACGTGAGACAATTTGATTTTCCCCAGAAAGTATGTCTAGTAAGATTTCCCGCTAAGTAATATTAGTGCAGCACTTTCAAAATCAGTTTCCGAACTTCGGCGACTAAACTATTCGGTCAATTTTTTTGGCTCGTTATGTACAACTAAAATATAATTATCACTATTCATAGTTTACCAAATCTTTATATCATCTGCAAATAAAAGCGCAAATGAGTTATTCTTTGTAATATATGAATAAATGGGAGGAATAGCGAACAGCCTAGAATACCGACCACTGGTATCCTACTCGGAAACGGTTTTCATCCCAATAATACATCATGCGCGCTTGTCCCTCGCCTTTTACCCAGTAGGAGGCCTCTAATCCAATCCCACAGGTTGTCATCTAATTCAAACCCTCTGCGTTTACTGAGAAGACCAAAGAGGGACACCTAAATGCTTTGCTAAGACCGACAAAAACTACAACAGTCTGTAGCCCACTGTCACTGGCTTTCGCTCAGTCTTTCCTAATTACCAGTAGGTTTGCTAAAAAGGATCACCCTGGTCTAAATCCATGCAGCTCTTTCTCCAGTGAGACACTTCTTAACATGAGCTAGTATTTGGTCCCTAAAAACTATTCAATGCCCTGTCTGTCTGGATTCAACATAGAACTTGGCACCGAAGTGCAGCAGTTCGAGTTGCCACGTTCCAAATAGCACACACAGGTAAACAAGAAGATGAGTGAAGAGAATCAACACAATCTGACAAGTATAAGAGTGAAACAGAATGGGTAATGGTAGAAAGGAATATGAAAGATTACAGAGACTGAATACATCTGCGCCATTGACAACGATTTTGAGCCATGTCACCTATTGTCTCCAGCCATTGATTCCTAGAGTCCCGAGGGCCCCAACCCGGGAGTCTGCATCTCCCTACCTGACTCAGTTTAACTGTCAAGGATTTCATGGATTGATGCCATGTTTTTGTTTGGCCACCACTGGCTCTTTTCCAACCTGCACCTATATCAGCTAGCAATGCCCGTCGGGGGAGGCGGTGGTTAGGCATGCGCAGCACGTGACCTAGCCATCTTAGTCTATGTAACTTTATAGCCTCGTCGATTGATTTTCCCTCTTTGCCCAACACTCTACGCCTAACGTCAACATTACTTACCTTGTTAAACCACCTAACGTGAGACAGAGATCGCAGACATCTATGATCGAAAGCAGTCAACCTTTTCATGTCTTCAACGCGTATTGGCCATGTTTCAGAGCCATAGAGAAGGACGGAGCGAACTGATGAGCAGTACACACGTCCCTTGGTTGATAACCGGATGTCACGCCTACGCCAGAGATGGTGTAAGTCAGCGAAAGCAGCTCGAGCTTTTCGGATCCGTGCTGAGATTTCATCGCCAATCAGTCCGTTGGTGCTAATACAACTTCCCAAATAGGTGAAGTGGTCAACATGTTCTATCACTTCACTCCCTATCACTAAGTTAGGAGTTGACGTGGTCCAGTCCTGTAGCAGCATCTTACATTTTGTAGGGGCGAATCGCATGCCAAACATACGAAGATTGCTGCTCAAGGTGTTCAGAAGACTCTGCATTTTGTCAGCATCCTCCCCTAACAGGACTATGTCATCTGCATATTCTAAGTCCATAAGACTATTCCCTGGTAACAAGTCGATTCCTAAGTCGTTACGTTCAGTTAAGGATACTTCCATCAGCATATCTATGATGAAGTTAAACAGAAATGGGGAAAGTGGACATCCCTGTCGGACACCACTGGTTGTTACCAATTCAGATGACAATTCCCCATAAGCCCTTACACGACTACGTGAGTTTGAATAGAGTGCCTTGATTAGTGCAATGTACTTTCTTGGCACTCCCTTCACAGTCAGACATTGCCATAGTACCTTTCGATCCACGGAGTCGAAGGCCGCCTTCAAGTCAAGAAATATGACAATTGTTGGACGCCGAAAAGTGTGTCTATGTTCTAGAATCTGTCGAAGAGTGAAGATATGATCTATGCACCCTCTACCTGGTCTAAAGCCTGCTTGATTTTCCCTTGTCTGTTCCTCCCGAGTTCTGCTTAGTCTATGCATGATTACTGAGCCTAGGATTTTAGAAACTATCTTCGTTAGGCTGATCCCCCTATGATTATCACACGAGGACTTGTTTCCCTTCTTGAATATCGGTATAATAAGTGACTTACCCCAGTCTGATGGCACTGTCTCTGATTCCCACACTTTGCCTAGTACCTCAGTTAATCTACAAACTAGTGTGTCACCCCCATATTTAAACACCTCCGGAATAATTCCGTCGGGTCCTGCCGCTTTGCCTCGTTTCAAATTACAGATAGCTTTTGTGACCTCACTTACAGACGGCGGACCAGTGTCTATATCCCATTCGGGTGTGTGCTGGATGTCGGGGAGGTTCAGTGTGGCTGTAGGCAAGTTAAATTGTCCCTCGAAGTGTTATTTCCAGCGTTCAAGGCGTCTATCCTGAGAGCTAATTAGGGAGCCATTTTTCTCAGAAATAGTCTCACTTATGATTTGCCTTCTCCCACCCGTTTCCCTGATGAGTCTAAAGAGTTGCCTAGTGTTGCCCTAGTAATAATACATATCAAGTTAGGAGGCTAGCGGTTAGATACTAATTGCTTCGTTTTCTCCTTGAAGATGGGGCTTATAACTGCATCTTTTCATCCTTAGGTAGCCTAGCTTAGAAAAGTGAATATCTTCAGAAGCGGAAAATATCGTATTTCACCCAAGAGGAGTAGCAGCTAAGGATGTGGTCTGTCAGGCCCCGATGGCTTACCCAGCTTTCTTATTTCTTCATGGAGGTCTAGCCAGTGGCTTCCTAGGTGTTGACCAAGTTAAAAAGGGACATGATACAATCAAAAGTAATAGATGGTTTCACCCGGACTTCTTTGACAGGGCCAGTCGTCTGAGGCAATATCTACTGTCTAAATGTTTTTATTCTTTGATTGCAGCTTGATTCTACACCATATTTTTGGTACAAGTATGGAATTTTCAGCATGGATATCGGTAACTCAAATTTTGCAGGCTGACCATAGATATCCCGACCAAAAGCTGCTACCTTGACGTGGTGGTCGGGCTTGAACACCGCAATGATCTATTCAAGCTATACTGGCTGAGACTTATGTCTCTTGAGGTCTCACCATGCCAGGCAGGTTGTTTGGATAGCGGTTAAACAAAAAGCAGCTACCCAATCCAACATCATGACCAATACAAAATCACAAAATTTCATGCGGGATCGGCCGTGGCCCGGATTAACAACGACCGCGCTTCCTGCTGCCGTGTCACAGGGCAGGAGTGATAAGTATGCTACTGAGGCACACCAAACAAAAGAGAACAAACAAAAACAGTCCGCGTGTGACCGGCCTCAAGCAGTTGTCCCCTGGGCTCTGCGGTCACGCAACCAACTTCCACGGTGTGGGCAGCCGGGAAGTAACAATCGCCCTCACAATCCAAGACAGACCATAGATATCAGGTGTGCGTCGCCAGGGGATCGAACCCCGGACCATTGTGCATGGTCGGCGAGGGTCCTAACCACTGTGCCACCGACGCACAGTGAATTCTGAACGAAGCAGTGAGTCGTAACAACGCAGTCACTGATGCATAGAGGCACCCGCTGCCGTTTACACCCCTTATTTTACGTGTGAATAACAAGTCTGTGATAGAGGGATCATACTAAAGACTGAAGGGTATTGATTCATGTACATACTGTACAAGTGTACACTCAAGTATAGCAGCATAAATTCTTTAATGAAACAGTTGTACAACCTAATCGACGGTGATTACTTCCAATTAGCACTTAGGACATTAAGGTTACCTATTATTAGACTCATATTTCTGGTACTTCATACGTGCAAATGTTCTAATACAAACTCATCAGCTACGCAAATAGGATTTTCATCCAGAGTAACCTTGTTTAGGCTAGTGACAAACTGTAACTTTACTAATAGCGTTACTACGCTAGCTGGCAGCACCAACTTAACTCCAATTTCTTTCTACGTACGAAAAGATACCACCTCATAACTGTATCTGCTGTGATATACTTGTGCGGTAAGGTCCACACCCATTACTAGCTACTTTCCAGTGGTTGTTATAGTGCCGAATTGAGCTCTTCTAGATAATTCTTTCAATTTTGGGGACAGACACCTTACGAGAACTTACGAGCAGACGTCTCAGAACAATCATTATCGAGTTGTTGCTTCCCAAAATCCCAATACATTGTTTTTTCCGGTTTTTTAATTCAGCCATGGTGCACATCACACCGAATCTCACTTATTGGTCTTTGTCCTTAAATGCATGAAGAAGAATGGTGTCGTTTTTTTCTCAGCTACTTCTTATAGAACTCCCGAGATCCTCAATAGCCGCACTGCTCTTACATAACTCTGAGACGTATTTCATCCCTTGCATTAGGTAGCGGGTTACGCAATATTAAGGAACACACTAAGATCATAAGCATTGTGGCTGAAATCTAATCAGTTAATTCCTTCACACTCCACGTAGTCAAAATAGAAGTCAAATTAAGCAGGCTAATATTGCATCTAATTCTCCCGAAAAATTCGTTAACGCTTCCAAAACCTAAATCCATTGAGAAAATCGGCATAAAGTGCATGATTAATTCAAGTTTATGTCAAAATTATAGATAAAACATGTCTTCGAGGACTTTTGAAGAAATTAAGATGAGAAAACGTATCTAAGCGTCCACCTTATGAAACACGTAATTAAGGTTTGCCTTCAAGAAGACATTATGATGAATATTAAGACCACAGTAACAAGATCCTAAGCACTTACTGTCAGGAAGTGCAATGGATAAAGGCACACACGACCTCAAGGAGAGGCTGAGCACTTCAAGGTCACATATGCATATTGTGATTGGTAGATTTTACTTTGCATAAACGCTGCGGCTAATACGTAGCACAGTTACTGAGGCGGGCTTTAAAATGATAGTAATAAAAGTCGCATAAACATTACATTTTCTAGCTTAAGGAGACAAGCTAACATATGTATAAATTTTACAGATGTGGTATGCCTGTGGACCCACTAATAAAAAGAATATTATTGGGTAACTAAATCAAAGAAGTATATAGTTTGAATATTTAGTCTTTTTCAGTTTATTGTAACGGTCAGAGAGGAGAGGCATTTGTGTGATATTTTCATTTTGCAGAAGACAAACTGTGAAAGATAAATCAGAAGTTCTATAATTCTTCAAATCCGTCGTGGAACATATGGACTAATCTTATCGATTCTACTGTGGAGTCCTCAAAAATAAACTTATCCAAATTTTACTACTATGTAAGAAATGAACATATTGTACATCACTTTGTTTTAGCCATAAACTCTGCACTTTGACTTTACCTCGGGTTTTGAATAAATATATAGTTCTGCCTTCGACTCTCCGTCTTCTCCACCATCTCAACGGCCGTCGATCAATTTTAATCACCTGCTTTCTATCTCAAATTTTCGCAGGAGCACCGTAGTTCTTCCTACGTACTTTGGTCGACCTCCGGCAACGTCAACCGTGGAGAATTAGTACTGGAGCAGTCTTCCCGCAGCACCTGGAGTCTATAACGTTTATTGTGGACTTTGGATCTTTGTAAACCCAAGTAACCAAACTTTAATACATTCTTCCCGTAACTAAACTGATTTGATACTTTATTTTCTATTTGAATTTGGGTAACTAAGCTAACATAGTAAAAGGTCCACCACACTACTATTGTTCCCTCCCTTGTTCACATATTCATTGTGGCTAAGATAAGGAACTGTTCACCTGAGGTAAGATTAGCTCACCTGATATGTATACGTCCTTAGGTATTTCTCAGTGCGACCGGAGGTGGTCGGAGGAATACAATTTCGGCCTTTGCATGGAAAGATCATAACCAGTTTCTTCTGAAGGATCGGGTGATGCTGAAAGCTGTAAGGACGGGTCCAGTATCACAATCAACTGAGGGAAATTGATCCACATATTGTGGGTAAAACGATTAGTGGACATCAATTTGACTATGATGTATCAATAAAAAACCACAACTCTGATTTTTTCAATGAATTGTTATAAAACCTTTTTAATGTGAATATGTGCTGTTTTACTGCTGTTATTTTGTAAATATATGCATTTATGTCGACTACCTGTATCTCTCTTAATTATCAACTCGAGGACATTGCATAGTTAACGAAATTGGTCGGCAACGTAGTAATACTTGTGTGAAATGCGTCATAATGGTAAACCGTTATTATTTCCTCAATGAGTCATCAAGCCTCGCATGAAATGTTACAGCTACATTTAATCCGGTCGCGCATAGTATAAGTAGGCATTAGTGTTAAGAAGAAAAGAGCGTCAAACATGTGTTTGTATTGTAATGACGAAATATTTTTTTTATTTTATTTTTTATTTTTGATTACAGCTTGACTCCACACCGTATTTTGGGACAAGTGTGGAATTTTCAGCGTGGATATCGGTAGCCCAAAATTCGCAGGCCGACCATAGTAACCCTTTTGTAAAATACCGTCAAAGACAGACCGTTATAAGTCCCTATGTGCGTGCAACATCTCAGTTACATTCAATCCGACTGCGTAAGAGATTACCTTTCATCAAATCTAGCGAAAAATCATACGTTTAGCTTACGTTTATTATGCGATTAATACATATACATAATAACAAATGTAGGACGACTGCGTACATCGAAAATAACTTACTATACGTATATCCTATTGAAAAATTGTCCTAGTATTCTTATGCTGCGCAAATTACCACTCTCTCAAAGTAAATCATTACGCATTCAAAAACCGGCTACATCAGTGTTCCTTCAACAAGCAAAGAGAAGTGGTATAATAATAATGTATATTCTCATATAAACATATTAATTTACATGAAAATGCATGCCATTTTTACAGGCACAATAAAGTATGATATAATATCAAATCGTAGATTGTCTACAAGTTAATAATGTTTCAACAGTTAAATATTTGATATTGTCAGTCTCGCCTCATAAACCGTTAATGCCCAGCTCTCGCTACGCTCGGGCCCACGCTGTTCCTTTGAGTTTCAGAAACGCTTAGTAATAACGGACGCAAAAACCAAAACACCGATCTGCTGCTTGTTATTTCTTTATTGTTACACCAACATATAAAAGGAATAAACGAACTAAAGTCTGAAAACAAATATTACAATAATAAATCTTTCTATTACTTCTGACGATGTTTCACTCTTCTTTCTGAACAGCGACCGATGGGACGATGACTGTCGTATTGATGCCTCCGCGAAAATTGGGGAAGTTGATTTTAAGCAAACAACCAAGAATTGATCGTTCAATCTTCAACTCCATTGACACTCCCCGGCAAAAAAGGGATCCAACCCTTTTTTCCTTCACGACCAATGCACGTTGACTTGGATGCCATTGCGAGAACCTGGGTCACACGGACAGAGCTGAAATGGAAAACAAACAGAAAAGCCAACACACCACAAGCATACCAACAGCACAATCTCACACATCAATGACGACCTGCGCCTCCAGACAGAGACCTCCTCTTGACATCTTGCAACACAATCGCCATTTGCTAGAATGACTCTTGCAGAATGCAAAGTGACCATGGTAGCACCTCACGATACTCTACGCACATCCTCTTATCTACTCATTACCAATTACCACTGAAATCGCTTGTCACTCATTCTGCCTCAGTTCTAGTAGCGGTGACGCATGCGAGCCTCAGTCGTTTACACTCTTTCTCCCCGGCGTGTGGGACCGCAGCTAACAATTATCTCCATGTGCATTTCATTCTCAGCAATAGCCTAGCCTCCCCGGCGTATACGACCCATCTGCTGTCTTTAACATCAATCAATTCATCCACGGATAAAGAAGACTCGAAACCACTTCAGAAGTAATCACGACGAAAATTTTAACAAAATTACGCAATAACAACAAGACACGAAAACAACAAGTAAAGACAATGAATCCAAAATACACCAATTGCTATGACACACCACACGTATATACAAATAGTGCAAAAAACCTCGTCGATCATGTCTTGGTGGAATTCCTTTGAAGAATTGCAGGACTTACACCAGTACGCCTACAACCCTTCTCAGGTTGACGATTGTAAGTTGTGGAATGTCCGGACACAAACAAGATTAACCAACAATTACATCAATTGGAACTCACACAATTATATAACACAAACATATGTACAATCACTACATCAAATGTTGTGGATTCCGGCATGACAAACTACCCTTGAAGAACTGTAGGACTTACAGCAGTACGCCTACATTCCTTCTCAGGTTGATGATCTACGTGGAAGTCGTCCGGACACAAACAGAATTACCAACAGCTAGATGACAGATGATATCAATTCAGTATATACAATATGAACATATGTACAAAATCACACGCCAAGCACATTGGACTGCTCATTGATGCGCTACCCTTTGAAGAATTGTAGGACTTACACCAGTACGCCTACAACCCTTCTCAGGTTGACGCCCTAGGTCGGAAAATCGTCGCAGAGTTCATTTGCTAACTTCCTTCTATGAGCTATATCCTCAAATCTGAACGGCAACACGCCCATGTCATTGTATCGTAGAATATAGATGACCAACAAACACCCGACATATCTCATCAACCAAGTGTAGAAACAGAGTAATTTACACCAAAGATAATAACATTCAAATAGTAACTTGAAACTAGAAATGCCTTTATTCGTGCAAGTCAATTTAAAAATTACTCTCTCGTTTACACTTGGCTTATCCTCACTAAACTGACCATTGATATTCGTCCTTTCAAACGAACTGATACTAGCATAGTCATTGCACAAGATACTTGAGTTGATGGGTGTCTGTTTCATTGTGGATGACAGCACTAACGACGACTGATTGATATCAGTTGATGAACTTAGCAGTGGATCAAAAGCTGTTGTTGCTCGCTTTTCAGAAATTTGTCTACCTGCAAGACCACCACCACTGCTGTCTTTTACTATCAGCTCAGGTTTAACACTAGCATCTGATGATAGGTGGGCTTCACTCTGATCAATTACACTGACGGTTTGACAAGTATGCATGCCTTCTGCAACTGCATTCAATTCTACTTCACGTTCAAGTTGTACGGAACCTTTATTTAACTTAGCAGTAGTAGGCATTCCCTCCATTTCATCATGATCAACCAAAGACAAATCTGCACTATCATGATCATTATCACAAATATTCAATTTACCGTCAAGTTCATCATTTTCAAACTCTTTAATAACAGAGGTAGACAATTTTGGTTCCTCCTCACAAATCATTAAAGGTTTTATATCTTCACTCCGACTAGTTATACTTTGTAAACTTTTGGAGTCAGAACTCCACTCTGAAGCAGTAACTCTATTCTGTGACACTCTATTCAACAACGGCTTACCAGTTGCAACTACAGACTTCTTCACAACAACGTTATCGTCACACAATTCGGAGTCAGGTCTGGAGTTTACATTTAGCTTATCACTGAACTTGCTCACTGGTTCACAGTTCACTTCTGTATGCACCTCTTGCACACGTGTAAAACAAAGCCGTGTTTGTCTTGCATCTTGTAACTTATCTGTTGAGGATGTACTACGAAACCTGTTACACTCACTAGGTCTATATGCATTACTAGACATCATGGAGTCTTCTCGATATCCACCTTTTTGAGGCCTATTCGTCATCAATGAGTGCGTTTTACCCTCAGACTGCTCTATTCTAGGGGTGAGATCTAACAAACTGGAAAACTTGCTCATAGATTGATTAACACTAGTATTTACCAGTTTCAGGATATCATCAAACTTTGGCTCGATACCCTCATCCTCCATACGGGAGCTTATCTTCACCCACTTCCTTTGCAGTCGAGTAGGTAGACGTCTTGCTATTACTTCTAGGATAAAACTCGAGTTGAGGTCACTCATTCGATTCATCGAAATCATTCCATTCTTGTAAATTAGCAAATTATCTAAAAACTCAGTGAGTGCCTGGGAGTCATCCTGTAACTGACCACCATTACCCTTAACAGCCTCGAATAATTTCCCTGCAATCATCGAAGGTCTTCCAAACCTTTGGCGTAATATGCTCATAGCCTCATCGTAGCCCTCCTTTGGCTTCATAAACTTACAGCACTGTATAGCTCTTGCAGCATCTCAAGTGCAATATCTCATCAAATACATTAACTTCAATTCATCACTTAATAGAAAACTATTCAGCATGATCTCAAACTCCTTTACAAATTGTAAATAATCAGCCGGGTTTCTGTAGTGCACATTGTACCTTTGAACTTTTGTTTAAACTGACTCACCCACGGTGATCCACGTTTTACCTTTTGACTTGTGAGTCTTCCGTACGTTCATAGGTTCGCTCTCTTGTTGTGCTCTCTTTCTGCACACGCTCCGAGCCTACCTCCAGCAACGACTGCAGATAAGTTTTTTTTTTTTTTTTTTTTTTTTTTTTTTTTTTTTTTTTAATAAAATATAATTCTCCCAGGTACTCTTGTCACATCAAGTCTTTTTACAACGATACAGTTCGTCAGTATTTGCGCGTCGAGTAGTGTACTGCTAAGCTTAGTAGGTCGCCAAAACGGTGAAGAAGTTTGTAAGGGTGTTTAGAGTATAGGTCCACTCTAAGCCGTAGTAGAACTCTTACAAGTGGTGAGCCCGTTTTCACCGTTTTCCGCCATAGCTTAACGTGTTAACAATTCTTTTTACGTATCGTTTATTTTGTTATTTTTTTTCTTTTTCACGCACGGATATAAAGATTTGATTTGTTTTCTTTGTACTTATATTGTTTTTTTTATCACCTTGTTAATATTGTGTCCTGTGTGCAAGATGGCTGATGGGGGGTCATCAAGCTTTGACGTGGTGGCCCATATTGCCAAGCTATACGAGGAGATCTGTAGTATCCGACAGGAGATGAACTCCAGGAGTCGTGGACGCAGTCCCTCAAGTTCGCGTAGTAGTAGACCCTTGCCACGTGCTAGCAGCAAGCGCCGACAGTCCCGAAGTAACCAGCCTGGAGTGTGCTGGTATCATCGACGTTACGGAGCAAAAGCCCAAAAGTGCACTCGCCCGTGCACCTTCGATGTTCAACAGTCGGGAAACTAGCAAGCCAGCACGTACTGGCGACTAACGTCGCTGGCGAACCACTCTCATGTCGCCTCTTCTATGTTACCGACCGTAACACTGGGATACGCTTCCTAATTGATACCGGAGCAGAGGTCAGTGTAATCCCACCCACAGTAGAGGAGCGCAGGCGGCCAATGTCTCTTCAACTACGAGCCGCAAACGGTTCGCCAATTGCTACGTTCGGCAGGCGCTTTATAGATCTTAACATCGGTTTGCGTCGTTCACTTCGTTGGGTCTTCCTGGTGGCAGACGTTACCACAGGTATAATTGGCATGGATCTATTGCAGCACTACCAATTACTGGTAGATACAGGTAATCATAAGTTAAAAGATCCTGTCACAAACCTCTCCGTCAGCGGTATCGTCACACAAGGCCCAGCCCTCAGCCCGGTATATGCCACACCCACTAGCACTGGTCCTTATTCGCATATACTGCAGTCTTTTTCAGATTTGTTCAAACCTAGCAGCGGCCTGCCAT